TGTGCTGAGCTGGGATGCAGGCTTCATTGAGAGCAGTAATAGAGGATTCCACAGGAAGGGGCAGCTCTGCCCTCAAGCAGGAGGGCAGAGCAGGTACATTGGATGGTTCTAGAAAGAGGATTAACTCCTTGTTAATCCATCTTGGCCCAACCTTCTGTCCCACAGAGAAGGACCCTAAGCTGGAGATTCGCTATCGGCACAAAAAGTCTCGAGAGCGGGATGGCAATGAACGGGACGGCAGTGAGCCCCGGGATGAGGGTGGAGGGCGCAAGAGACCTGTCCCAGATCCAGACCTGCAGCGCCGGGCAGGGTCCGGGACAGGGGTTGGGGCCATGCTTGCTCGGGGCTCTGCTTCGCCCCATAAATCTTCTCCACAGCCCTTGGTGGCCACACCCAGCCAGGTGAGTGGCTGCAGTGGTTAGGATGGGCACAGTGGTTCCATCATGGCTGTTTCTAGGTTCCTGATTTCTATTCTGGGCACTGTCTCCTAGCATCACCAGCAGCAGCAGCAGATCAAAAGGTCAGCTCGAATGTGCGGGGAGTGTGAAGCATGCCGGCGCACTGAGGACTGTGGCCACTGTGACTTCTGCCGAGACATGAAAAAGTTTGGGGGGCCCAACAAAATCCGGCAGAAGTGCCGGCTGCGCCAGTGCCAGCTGCGGGCCCGGGTGAGCATGGACAGAGCTGGATAGGGTCAAGTGGGGGTGCATGACTGGGAGGTACAGGCAGGGCTGTTTGAGGCTAGGAATTGGGGACCAGATGGGATGGAGGCCGATTGTATCCAGACATGTGGGAAAGGGCCTAGCATGTCCACATGAATGCTGCATGAACAGGTATGCTGGGCTGCAAGTGAACCCCACCAGATTTTGGTGGGTAGGGGGGGCCAAGTGTTGGCAGGTGGTCAGGCATGTCAGAGTACAATAGGCAGGGCTAAGCCTGTTCTGGTGGTGAGAGAAATGGTGGCAGATATGTCTGGGGAGGCAAAGCAAGGCTAGGGGGGGAGGGTTAGGGCAGGGCCACCCTCTGTCTACCTGGGGCTGACCTGGGCCTTCCTCCTGCCGGCACAGGAATCGTACAAGTACTTCCCTTCCTCGGTGAGTCCAGCCCCCCAGGGCGGGGCAGGGCATGCGGGCAGGGCGGTCAGGGCCAGTCCTGAGATTCTGCCCTGCAGCTCTCGCCGGTGACGCCTTCAGAGTCCCTGCCAAGGCCCCGCCGGCCGCCACCCACTCAACAGCCGCCACAGCCATCACAGAAGCTGGGGCGCATCCGTGAAGATGAGGGGGCAGTGGCATCATCAGCAGTTAAGGAGCCACCTGAGGCTACAGCCACACCTGAGCCACTTTCTGATGAAGACCTACCACTGGACCCTGACCTGTACCAGGACTTCTGTGCAGGGGCCTTTGATGACCATGGCCTAGTGAGCAGCAGGAGCCTCCCTTGGTGGGAGGATGGCAGTTCTAGAGACAGAGAGATTCCCAAGGGGAGAGTGGAGGTGGAGGGCATATAAGGTTATTGGGAAATAAGCAGGTGATAGGGCTGTCAGGAGTGAGGCAAGAGGGTCAGTGCATGCCCTGCTTGCAGCCCTGGATGAGTGACACAGAAGAGTCCCCATTCCTCGACCCTGCCCTACGGAAAAGAGCAGTGAAAGTGAAGCATGTGAAGCGTCGGGAGAAGAAGTCTGAGAAGAAGGTGATGGAGAGGGTAAAATGGTTGTGGGAAGGTAGAGGGTAGGGTGGGGAGGCAGAAATATTAGATAAGGGGATAAGTGGGATAAGAGCCAGAAAAGACTAGAATGGAGGGGGAGACAGGACCTGAAGCTGACTTAGATTCCCCCCCCCCCCATCTGTCTTAACCTCAGAAGGAGGAGAGATACAAGAGACATCGGCAAAAGCAGAAACACAAGGACAAATGGAAACACCCAGAGAGAGCTGATGCTAAGGACCCAGCATCACTACCGCAGTGCCTGGGGCCTGGCTGTGTGCGTGCTGCCCAGCCTGGCTCCAAGTATTGCTCAGATGACTGTGGCATGAAACTGGCTGCCAAGTGAGTCTTTCCTGGCATGGAGGGGTGGGAGGAGGGAGGTAAGAAGTACAGAATAGAACATCACTAGAATTTTCAGTGTATCTACCAGTACCTTTTTACCATTTGGTCAGTCAGTCACACACCTATCCATATACCYATTTGCCCATCCATTAACCTATCTTTCTGCCCATCCATGTAGCATTAGCCATTCACCTGTTTATTTCCCCTTTCACCATTTTATCACCCATCCATTTACTATCCTTTGACCACCTGTTTGCCATCTTCCCTGCCTATACCCCACCCACTGCCCTCCTGCAGCCGCATCTATGAGATCCTTCCCCAGCGCATTCAGCAGTGGCAGCAGAGCCCCTGCATTGCTGAAGAACATGGCAAAAAGCTGCTTGAACGTATTCGCCGGGAGCAGCAGAGTGCCCGCACCCGTCTTCAGGAAATGGAACGCAGATTCCATGAGCTCGAGGCCATCATTCTTCGTGCCAAGCAGCAGGCTGTGCGCGAGGATGAAGAGGTAAGGATGCAGGGGGTATACAGTAGGACATGGCTTAGTACCTAGTCCCACCTGGTCTCATCATTCCTTTCACATCCCGCAGAGCAATGAGAATGACAGTGATGACACAGACCTGCAGATCTTCTGTGTCTCCTGTGGGCACCCCATCAACCCACGTGTTGCCTTGCGCCACATGGAGCGCTGCTATGCTAAGGTTGGGGTGTCAACCTGAGGGGATGGAATGGTTTGGGAACATGAGTGGGCCCATGGGGGATGGATTTGTTGTTTGGATGGTGACTTGGGAGGGCATGCAGCGCACACCCACAGTTCCTTCCATTTGTGCTCATCCTTCCAGTATGAGAGCCAGACGTCCTTTGGGTCCATGTACCCCACACGCATTGAAGGGTGAGTGAGGTACCATGAAGAGTTGGGGCCGGATTAAGGGTGGGCTCAGAAATACAACATGTGGAGCCAGGGCAGGAAATGGGCAGGGGCAAGGATAGGTGGGCCTCTTTTCTTCTCTCTCTCTCCATTACCTTCTCTCTACTATAAACCACCAGGGCCACAAGACTCTTCTGTGATGTCTATAATCCTCAGAGCAAAACATACTGTAAGCGGCTCCAGGTGCTATGTCCTGAGCACTCTCGGGATCCCAAAGTAAGATTTTTCCTCAGTTTCCTCCATTCTGCCCCTTTCTACCTCAATGTCTCACTTCCATATTTTCATTCATCAGCTGCCCTTCTTCCTTTCTATGACAACTTCCATTCCCTTCTCTTTCCGTGTCTTATCGCTGCCCCTTTCTCTTTTCACTCTCCCTTCTTCCTCACCATCCTTATTCATCTGTACTCTGGTGTTCCTGCAGGTGCCAGCTGATGAGGTATGCGGTTGCCCCCTTGTACGTGATGTCTTTGAGCTCACAGGTGATTTCTGCCGCTTGCCGAAGCGCCAATGCAATCGCCATTACTGCTGGGAGAAGCTGCGACGTGCTGAAGTGGACTTGGAGCGTGTACGGGTGGTAGGTTTCAATGATGGATGTGACTAGGGTCAAGCGGGGCTTTGGGATTCCTCTTCTCATGGCACCTTCCACCCACTTGGCAGTGGTACAAGTTGGACGAGCTGTTTGAACAAGAGCGCAATGTACGCACAGCCATGACAAACCGGGCAGGATTACTGGCCCTGATGCTGCACCAAACCATCCAGCATGACCCACTCACTACCGACCTGCGCTCCAGTGCYGACCGCTGAGCCTACGGATTCAGAGCCCTCACCCTGCATTCCATTTGGGGGAGTGGCCCCGAATCCCCCTTTGTCCATTTCTCCATTATTTGTTTCTTCCATTGTCCCTGAGTTTTCTCCCTGTGCCTATCCACCTTTGACTGCCTAAAGGGTTTCAGAATTTCCCTCTCTCCATTTTCTGTGCCTGGGTGGGACTGTGGAGTCTACTCACCCTTGCTTCCCTTCTCCCCTGGTTTTGTTAATAAAATTTTGAAGAACCAAGCAGATAACTCCTGATGGTCTCCATGTGTGTTCCAGTTACAACTGCATTCCCAACCCCTAGATAAGATGGGCGGTGGTATGTCTGGACTCAGGCTGGGCTGCAGCACATGTGTAGGCTGTGAGTATACAGTTGGCATACACTTTATGCTCCCTTGGGCTGTGAGAATATGCCCTGCCAGGGTTGAGCCCAAAGACCTGCTCAGTCAGCCTGTAGTCTTGGGTCAGTAGTATCCAGTCAGCAGCCATCCCCTGTGGCCAAGTACTGACTGGCCGTCCCTCTGTGGAAGTAACATTCAGCAGACCAAAGGCACGTTTAGCCTCGCACAGAGGCCATCTCCCCCCAAGCCCCTCCTGGGGGACCTGTTTACATCAGAAACCCACTGTTTGTGCTTGTGCCAGGACCCCAAACAGTGCTCTCCCCACTGTGGCTCTTGGGAGGGAGACGCACCCCTCCCAGCGCGCCACCGCCCCCTTCCCAGGATCCCGCGGAGGGAGCTGCTGGTCGGCGGGGGCAGAGGAAGCAGAACTCTCTAGCCCTGGGGAGAGGTTCGMGGGGAGAGTGGTGAATAAAGTGTCACCTAGGATAAGGAAGCGCGCAAACCCAAACCGWTGCTTCGCCTCCCCAGCGGACTACTTGTGGAAGAGATCACAGGCACAAATCAAGCGGTTCACTGCCCCGCGTAGGGTAGAACTGGAGTGCGCAGGCGCCACCTGGAYGGGCAGCGTGGGTAAGATGCGCCTGCAGGGGAAGTGAGGACCGCAGGCTCCACAGGAGGCCCCTCTAGCCTCTGACCCGGGTGCTTGACGCAGTTGGAGACAGTACGCAGGCGCAGCAGATCCTCGACAAGGCGCGCGCCGCTGTGGAGCCTCAGTGCGCAGGCGCGGGAGTCTCCCCTCTAAGGGCACGCGCCGTCAGGGCAGCGCGCAGGTGTCACGTCGTGGGTGGAGCCCGAGGGGCAGGCGGCGGATTTCCGGTTCCGGGAGCAGCGAACGGCCGCGGAGACGACAGCTACTGCTTACGAGAAGAGTACTTCGGAGGAGGAAGAGGAATTAGGGCAGGCGGGACGCGCAGACGGGACCCTCACCATGGGTCCTCAGGCCTAGGGCGGCGGAAGCTACCGGCCTGGTGCCAAGCTGGTGAGATAGCCGTGGGAGTGGAAATGGAGAGCGCTCAGGCGGAGAATGGGAAGGAATTGAGGCTCGGAACCCTGCCGGGGAGGAATGAAAGGTCCTCAGGCTGAGGAGGTGGAGGAATGGCGGCGCCGGAGTATTGAAAGGGAGGTCTGSAAGGATTTAGGTGGAGGACGGGAAGAAATATGGCTCAGAATGCTGACAGGAGTGTCGGGATCCTGGGAAAGAAGACAGAGAAGAATGAGGAAGATCAGAACGCCTAAGGGGAGATATCGGGCTTCTCAAGGAGAGAGAGATGGGGGTTCAGAACGTTGAAAAGAAGAAATAAGGGGCCTTCGGCCTGATGACAAGAAGAAATGTTAGGGTTGGAATACTGAAAGGAAGGAGGAGAACTTCCGTGCAGGACTAGAAAGAAGGGGGGGGCGGTGTCAGAGGCTGACCAGGGATGTCATGATCCTGGACACAAAGGTGCGGAATATGTGTGTGTTGGGAGAAATCAGAATTTCAAAGGCTAATAAGAGAAGAATGAAGGTTGAGAAAGTTGAAGGGGAAGAGGGATGACTTTTTGGCTGTAGAGGAGAGACATAGGTTTTTGCTTTGTGTTTGGGGAGGAACTATGGGTCAGAACCCTGAGAGAGGAAAGAAATAACGCTTGCCGAGCTCTTGTGCTGAAGAAGGGGAGACATGGGGCCTTCCAGGCTGAGGAATGGAAAGAATATGGTGGCGTTGGGGTCTGTCTCAGGGAAGGTCTGTGGTGAAGGTTATAACTCTGAAATAGTAGGCTAAGAAGTATCACATGTGGGGAAGAAATGGAATAGTTAAAACAGTGAAAGAGAAATTGGAAAATTGTGGGTTAAAGAAGCAGGGAATGGGAGTTCAGAACACTAAAATAGTCGACTAAAACCAAGCAAAATGGGGCCTCTTGTACTGAACTTTGCAAGTATTAGGGGCAGGTCTTAGGGTGATAAGAGGAAGAATAAGGACTATTAGGTGAAAGACAGCTAGTGTCTTCTGTAGGAAGGACAGGTAGAGATGACCAGGTGGGGGATAAGTTTCTTGGGTTGACAGTGAAGGGAAACCGAGGAAAACGAGAGATAGGTAAGGGAAATGAAAAATGGGACCAGGCAGAGATACATATGAGAGTTTATTTGTCAGAGCTGACAAATAAAGGCCATCTCTCTATAGTGGAGAGAGGCAAAACAGGCTTGGGTTCAGGGTGGTTAGGGGTTGGGTTGGTATGCGGGAGTGGTGAGCCTTTCTCAGAAACGCCTTTGGGCAGGAAAGCAAAACTTTTTCCTTAAAATGGCTGCCTAGATGCTAAGCAAGGACCTTATATATTCCCCCCCTTTTTATTGTTTATTGGGCCCCTTAGGGAATGGGAACATATGTCAATCTTCTGTAACTGCTTCCTGCTGGGAAGGGGCAGCATTTGAGTTGTCAATAGGGGCTTAGGATGTCATTGAAATGATGATGGAAGTTGAGTGGTGGTGGAATGCTGCCCTTGGCTGCCCAATTTTGATGAGCTGAGTAGGGAGATAGGCAGTCTATATAGAAGCTCAAAAGGGGAGAAGTTGAGTGCTTCTTTGGGAGGGTCCTAACCTAAGAAGAGCCAAGGGAAGGAGTTTAGTCCAATCTAAATGTAATTCAAGGGATAATTTAGTGAAAACGTTCTTCAAGGTTCAGTTGGTACGTTTCACCTTTCCAGAGGACTGAGGATGATAAGAGATATGAAAATGCCAGGAGATGTTGAGTGCTTTAGCTCAGACCTTGAAATATGGGAAGTAAATTCAGGATGATTATCAGACTGGAGCAAGGAGGTTGAGGCCAAATCGAGGAAGAATGTGTTCAATGAGGATGCTGGCCACTGTGGGAACACACTGTGGTAGGAAAAGTCTCAACCCATCCCGAGAAGGTGTTGATGAGTACCAAGAGAAATTAGTACCGCTTGACGGGGGCATATGGGAGAAATCCACTTGCCAATCAGAGCAAGGGAGCTGTCCTCTTGTCTGGTTTAAAGGGAAGGCAGGTGGGCAGAGATTGGAGGTGGGATTGTCTTTTTGGCAGATTTCACATGAGGCAGAGAGGGTAGAAAGAAATTGTAGGTCTTCTCGAGAGAGTTTAAGGTGGSAAGTGGGAAATTGTTTTAAAGATGTGGTGTTAGGGTGAAGAGGTTTTGAAGGAAGGTAAGTATCTGTTGAGTGTCAGGTGGGGAAGAATCCACTAGGGAACTAGCAAGGCAGAGGACTGTAGGTGGAGTTYGCTGTTGGAGGGCAGAGTCTGCATTGTTGTTGTCTAGTTTCACAAAGGAGGTGTCTGTCTTATGAGTTTTACAATGTGAGATGCTGATGGCAGTGGGAAGCTTTGAGGCCTGAAGGAGATCAGAGATAAAGGGGGCATTAGTAATTGAGGTTCCTTTGGTGGTAAGGAATCCACTCTCCTTCCAAATAAGATGGGATCTTTCATCAGAGAAACCTGTAGAGATAAAAGGCAACAGGGTGTAAGGAATGTAAGCCCTTATGTGAATGGGCTCGTAGTAGGAAGCAATTGGACTTGAAATATCCAGACAGTATGGTCCACCTTGGAAGCGGGTAATGGGAAAGCACTGGCAGACAGAATAGGGGATGGTCCTAAGGTAAGGGTGAGGATCAGGGGAGCAGCTGGCAAGTCTGGATGGAAGCATATATGAGGGGAGAAGGAAAGCATAGYCCCCAACTTTGTGAGGATGTCCCTTCCCAAAAGGGGAACAGGGCACTGTGGGATGACCAAAAAGGAGTGGGTAAAAATTAGCCAAAAGTGCAAACAAGGCTAGGTGTCTGTAAGGGTTGATAGTAGGCCCCCAGAACTCCTTGAGGACTGAATATGTAGCCCTGGTGTATAGGAGGAAGGAGACAGGCCTACCTGAAATATGCAGAATTACCCTGGTTTCCATTGGAGTGATGGTAATGGTCGGGTGATGGGTACACGGGACTCGTCAGTCTTCTGTAGCCAGTCCTAAGAGTTGGAAAGAGGAACCAGAAGGGCTCGATGGCCAGGGGCTGCCAAGGAGTCAGGGATAGTCAATGGCCAAGTGTCCCTCTTAATGACATTTAGGACAAGGGCCTGGAGGCTTGCAAGGCTTGGGACATATATGAGTACAGTGACCCATCTGATCACATTTAAAACAGTCCAAGCAGTCCCAAGGGACCCTTCTGTGAGCAAGTGGAACCAGGAACAGATACTGAGGCCGGACTGATGGCTTGAGCGAGCATCTGATATTTCTGCTTCTGGGCCTTCTCGTCTCTGTCATTATATACCTTAAAGGCCACTTCTGGAACCTCAGCTTGGGAAGTTAGGGGCCCCCTTTTGAGGTACCTTAGTTTGGCCTTAATATTGGGGGAACTCTGGGAGAAAAGTAGGTCATTAGTAGTTGTCTCCCATCTGGAGTCTCAGGGTCCAGATTAGTATATTGTAATATAGCCCTAGTCAGGTGATTTAAAAATGCTGAAGGTTTTCATTCTTATCTTGGATGACTTCCTGGAGGTTTTTATAATTGATGTCCTTATGGGCTGCCTTTCTAAGTCCTGCCATGAGGCAAGTAATGAGTTGGTTTCTATTAGTTACTCCTCCATAATCCCAGTTGGGGTTCCRATCAGGGACCGCTTCAGTGCCAGTCTGGTGGGCAAGGAAGGTCTGATGTACCTCATCAACATAATTTCTAGCTTGTTCCCAAACTTGCCTGCACTCCTCGTGCAAGAGGATGTTAGAAAAGATCATATGGACATCATTGAAGGTCAAATCAAATGATTGAGTCAGATATGGAACTCTTTGATATATGTGGTGGGGCTTGAAGCAAAGGACCCAAGCCACTTTTCTATCTGTGAAAGATCTGACGGAGAGAAAGGCACATGAATCCAGATTACACCGTCTTCCCCAGCCCTCTTGTGGACAGGACACAGAGATGCAGGTTGGGCAGTGGCAGCCTATGTAGCAGGAGGAGTGAAGGGTGGAGGGGCCRAGGGGATATTTGCTGTGGCAGCTTCATCAGAAAGAGAATTGTGGTATGGTGGGGACACATCCACTGGGTTGAAGAAGGAGGAGTCCTGGGTAGGATTTTCTGTCCCTTTGGAAGCAGGAGTAGAGGAGGTGAGAGCTAAGGGGACTTGTGCAAAAGAGCAAGTATTGCAGAGACAGGGCTTAGAATGTAGAGAAGAGAAGGCCTGAATATATGTTATTTCTTTGAATTTTCCTGAACGCTCTCAATAGTTAAAAAGATCTCTTATAGGGCTGGGATGTGGCTCAAGCAGTAGCACGCTCGCCTGGCATGCGTGCGGCCCAGGTTCGATCCTCGGCACCACATACCAACAAAGATGTTGTGTCCACCGAGAACTAAAAAATAAATATTAAAAAAAAAAAGATCTCTTATAATATTGGGATCTGGAGTGCTGTTAAGCAGCCATTTAGAGTCATTATCCAGTGGATAATGAGGCCAGATCTATTTGTACACAAACAGATAATTTGGGGGGACATTAGGTCTGGGCAGGGAGAGAGAGAGGGAGAAAGAGTGAGATACCTTAGGTTAACCAAGTAGCAGCCTAGGGGACTATGGGAGGGAATGGATGAGGAGGAGCTGCCCATGGTGAGACGCAGGAGGTGAGTTTAGAGGAGGAGCATCCCCCAGTCTCTAGTATCACCTTGTCAAGAGGACAGTTATGCTCAGGGTGTTGTTGCCATTACTGGGTAAATGTTGGGGTAGGAGCCTGTAGAGGCACTTGGTCACCCCACTAGGACTACATAGTAGGGGCAGAAGCCCGTAGAGATTAACCCAAGGTTGAGAGGTAGTCTCACCAAGAACGACTCCCAGTCGCCTTCGGTGGTTTTTTTTCTCAAAACCCAGAACCCAAATAAAAGACCACCTATAGACTTGTTAGACAGTAGGGATCAGCTGCAGCTGTGAAAGGTGTGGCTAGGGGTGCCCCCCACCACACGGTAACTTTGGAAATACGTCATGTTCAGTGGTCATTTCCYGGGACCCATAGATTGTTTAGGTCCCAGAAACAGAAGTCTTAACTGGAATATCCGGTGGTGGGTGCGGAGAACAATTCAGCAGAATGGAGGGTTTGGTCCCACAATAGAATTCATATTGGGGCCTGGGACTGCTCATTGACCCTCAAAGAGGGGAGTGGGCACACCGGGGAACCAATTCCAGGTTTTGGCACCAAAGTGAAGGGAAATTGAGGAACGAGAGACAGGTAAGCAAGAAATGAAAGACAGAGACCAGGCAGAGATACACACAAGAGTTTGTCAGAGCTGACGAATAAAGGCCATCTCTCTATAGTGGAGAGAGGCAAAACAGGCTTGATTTCCGGGACTTTTATGGGGCAGGCTCAGAAATCAGAGCTGGGCGGTTCCTAATGTGGGTGGTTAGGGSTTGGTTGTTATGGGGGAGTTGTGAGCCTTTCTCAGAAACACCCTTGGACAAGAAAGCGAAACTTTTTCCTTAAAATGGAGGCTGTCACTTAAGATGGCTGTCTTGATGCTAAGCAGGGACCTTATAGGCAGTGAATGAAATGATGGGCTTTCAGTTTGAAGATGAAGAGAAGTAGGGAATCAGTAAACTGAAGATTGAGAGCAGTGGAGGCTAGCAAGTCAAGGAATAGGAGGAATGAGGAGCTCTTGGGCCCAGGACAGGGAAGAAGGGTGAGAATGGAGGATTTTCTCTCTCATGTGTGTGTGCAGCTATCTGCTGTGGCAGGTCCTAGGTTTCAGGCATGCATTACAGGATATCAGTTATTTGTGTGACCTGGGGCAGTTTGCCCTTCCTGAAGCCTTGGTTTCTCCTATACCCTCCTCTTCCCACACCTTACAGGCTGCTACTACGTTTGGAAGCCTCCATGGCTGAAGACTGGCTGGACTGCCCAGCCCTGGGCCCTGGCTGGAAACGTCGTGAGGTCTATCGCAAGTCAGGGGTCACCTGTGGACGTTCAGACACCTATTACCAGAGGTAATAGATGGGTTGTGGTCAGAATTGGGTGGGGTTAGGCCTGGTTAGGGGCAGGGTAAAAGGGTGTGGTTAACTTTGTGGGTGGAGTTTARATTATACATATAGTCAGTCCTTATTATTCAAAGTTTTCATATTTGCAAATTCACCTATTTAATAAAATTTATTTGACCAAAGTCAATACGGTGCTTTCGTGGTTATTCACAGACATTCACAGAGCAGTGAAAAATTTGAGTCACCCAATGCACATGTTCCCAGCCAAGGTTGAACAAGGCCTTTTTGTTTCAGCTTCCATATTGTAAACAAGCATTCCTTTTCGTGGTCTATTTAGTGCCATATTTTTTCCCATTTTCATGCTATTTTGTTGGTGGTTTAACTGTTTAAAATAAAGCCTGAATATATAGTGCTGAAGTACCGTCTAGTGTTGAGTGCAAGAAGGCTGTGATGTGCTTTGCCCAGAAAATACGTGTCAGATAAGCTTCCTTCAGGCATGAATTAAAAATGTTGTTATCTGTGACTTCAATGTTATGGACCCGAAATACTGTATAAACATATACCGTACATCCAGAAAAAGAAGAGGAAACTTGTATGTGAGGACACACTGGGAAGTAAAAAAAGTAACATTTGTGGTACCTAATGAAGCTGTGGAAAAGATTTAGGAAAGCAGCTAAATCTGTGAATCCATGAAATGATGAGCAATAAAGCATAGTGAACAGCACTGTTATGAGAAACACCAGAAAGGTACGTTATCCAGCATTGGGAAAATGTAAACTCATCTCGGCTAGTGCTGGTTGGCTTGCACATTTTAAAAGATTGATATGGTATGAAAATTGTTTAAATTGCATGCAGTACAAGAGCTACAGATGAGGAGTCGGTGGGGGGGGRAAATCTGGAAAATACTTACAAAGTGTTATATGAGAAAAGGTTTATATAGAAGAAGGTTTTTAATGCCAGTGAGACTGATTTGTTTTGATGGAACAGTGGTAAGCCAATCTGTGTGATGAAAACAGCCTCCAAATCCCCTGGCTTTGAGACATTCAAAACCTAAGCAATAATTTGTAAGAAAAATAAGGTGTCTTTAAACAGAAACACATTAAAAAGGATTATATTTTGATCATTGAATAAAAATGAGGCCAAAGACTTGCTGGACCCTAACCCTGTATTTGTCCCACGGACCAGTGTTTTCTTACTAATTCTGGGTTCTTGGCAGTTTTATAGAACATAACTACCAGGAATAATGAGAATTGACTGTAATTACATATACAGATGTTTATAAATCTTTTACATATGTTTTAGAATTATTAACAATACAGTTAACTAAGCTTTTTACTCTAATTTTCTTTTTGTATTAAAGTTTACATTTCCTTAGAGGAAAATAGTAAAACTGCAAATATGATTGCTATCCTTTTATGTTTAGTTCTGATTTTTTCACATATTTACATACTCGTATTAACCTCTCAAAACTTAAAATTTAATTGTCAGGAATTATAAGAGATCCAAGATTTCACCCTACTTTGGATAAGATAACAAGTGAATGAATGCTGATAGGAAATATGAGACTCCTGGGTCAGAAATGAAAGAATTTATTACATCAGCAACAGGATCCAGTGCCAGTTCCCTGAATCCCAATTCCCACAGTGAATGAAGAGGGCTAAATAGCGTATGCACTGCATGTCAGTGGGTTGTATTATAGAAAAGAAACCCTGAGCTTATAATATTAAGACAGTATGCTTTCCTCTTCCTCCGGAAGGAGACCCTGTCTTATCTTCCAAGGTCTGTCTTAGAAACATCCTTGAAAAAATAGTTTATTACAAAGGACAACTTATGCCTCTTATGACACATGCAGAAATGGAGACTCACGGAGTAACCTTTCAGTATCTCAGCATCAACTACTTGGCACTTTATATTTTATGTATAGTTTTTTTTTTTTTTTTGGTACTGGGGATTGAACCCAGGGGTGCTTTACTACTAAGCTACGTCCCAAGCCTTTTAAACTTTTTAAATTTTGAGACAGGGTCTTGCTGGTTTGCTTAGGAACTTGTTAAGTTCCTAAGGCTGGCCTCGAACTTAGAATCCTCCTTTTTCAAAATTCTGATTCGCTGGGATTGCAGACGTGTGTCACTGCACCTGGATGTAGTTAATATTTTTATGTGCTTTTTTAAAAATATTTTTTTTAGTTGTTGATAGACCTTTATTTTATTTATTTATATGTGGTGCTGAGAATTAAACCCAGTGCTTCACACAGGCAAGTGCACTACCGTTGAGCCCCAGCCCCAGTCCTTCATGTGCTTTTTAAACATTTCTGTTAGAATTTTCTTTGCTTGATTATGCATTTGGCATATAATACTTAAATATTTACATGTTATGTATTTGTGTTCTTATTTGTGTTAATTTTTACTCATAAAAAGTATTTTCAATACCATTAGTGCCATGTGTCTATGTTTTATACAGTCGTGTTAGTGATGGCAATACATTAGGAGAGATGCATCATTAGGTGATTTTATTAYACAAACCTCATGGAGTACAGTTTTCACAAATTTAGATTGTATAACCTCTACATGCCTAGGCTGAGGAGTGTGTTCTGAGAAATGTGATATTAGAGGATTTCATCATGTGAACCTTATGGAATGTACTTCTACAAACTAGGTTATCCCCCCTCAAACCTTCCCACAGGGAAGAGGACTGGGGATTGAACCCAGAGGCTCACACATGCCAGCACAAGTACTCTACTAAAGAGCTGCATTACCAACCTTTTTTATTTTATTTTGAAACAGGGTCTTGCTAAGTTGCCGAGACTGGCCTTGGACTTGAGATCCTCCTGACCCAGCCTCCTGAGTAACTGGGATTATGTAGGAATGCACCACTGTGCCTCACCATGCAATATAGTCTACGGGATGATATTTATATATGCTGTTTGCAGTTGATCCTTGTGCAGTGCATAACTATGTATGCTGAATCCTGTTGCTCCTAAGGCTATGATAAAATGAGATCAAATCAAACACAAGAGAAAATGATGAAATTGAGAAATGCAGCAAATGTGAGAGATGAGGCTGCTGCTGTCCCCACATGGTGTACTGTTTTAAAGCAAACTAAAAAAAAGTAGGAATGCACTCTAAAATAATGATAAAATGTGCAGCAAAGGGGCTGGGGATATAGCTCAATGGTAGAGTGCTTTCCTAGCAAGTAAAATCCTGGGTTCAATCCCACTACCACACACAAAAATAGCAAGTACATAAACCAGGAGTAGTCATTTATTAAGTATATTAAGTAGTACATACTGTATGTAATTATATGGGCTATACAACTGGCAGTGCTGTAGGTTTGTTTACATCAGCATCACCATAAAAATGAGTAATGTGTTTTGCTTGACATTACAATGGCCATGATGTCACTAGGCAATAGATTTTTCAGCTCTATTATAATCTTTATTGGACCACCTTACAATGTACGATCTGCTGTGGACTGAAACGTCATTATATAGCTCAWGACTGTAGTAATTATTAATGTTTGTAAACATGCTGATATTTTTATTCATCTGTTCCTTTTACTCACAGTTGGTTGGGGTGGGATCTGGATGGGGCTCACAGGCCAATTCCAGGGTTTCTCTTGAATCCCACTAGCCCTGTAGGAGGGTGAGCTGGGTGGAACTACATTGGCTTCACCTTGGTGCCAACTCATCCTGGCCCATCCTCAGCCCCACAGGAGACAGGATCCGAAGCAAAGTTGAGCTGACTCGATACCTGGGCCCTGCATGTGACCTCACCCTCTTCGACTTCAAACAAGGCATCTTGTGCTATCCAACTCCCAAGGTACTTCACAATGAATCCAGGCAAGGGTAACTGTGCCACCTGACACCCATGCACTGATCCACATTCCTCGTGCCCCTCACTCATCTTCAGGTCCAATCTGTGGCTGTYCCCAGCAAAAAGCGGAAAAAGCCTGCAAGATCGGCCAAAACTCGGAAACGTCAGGTTGCACCCCAGAGGACTGAGGTCAGGAAGGAGARAAAGGAGAGGAAAGAGACCCAAGAGGATGAGACCAAGGGTGATACTGACACAATCCCAGCTTCATTCCCTGCACCTGGGTGAGTATTGGCCTAAAGTGAACCAGATGGGAGAGATTTGTGATGGTACTGTTAAGGCCCCATATCTGTCTTTTCCATCGCAGGTGCTGTGAGAACTGTGGAATCAGCTTCTCAGGGGATGGTTCTGGAAGGCAGCGGCTCAAGACATTGTGCAAAGACTGCCGAGGTGAGTGGCCCCCTAGGATGGGACATAAAAAACATGAGCCAGGACAGGCCCAGTGTCAGGCTAGGCTGGAAGTTGAGGAGACTACTGGCATGGGTGGAGGTTGGATGTTGAAAGTATGAAGCATGGGTACAAGTTGAATATGGAAGTCAGGGCTGAGGTGGTGGGTAAGGCCAGGTGTCAGTTGCTCCCTTCCCATTTCTCTCTCTCCCTATCCCCCAGCACAGAGAATTGCCTTCAACCGCGAGCAGAGAATGTTTAAGGTAAGTATATGTGCTTCCTTTTCACAACCCCGCAGTAGGACCAAGATGTGATGAAGCTGGTGGAGGGTGTGATGGGTCGTCAGTCATAGAGCCATAGAGTGCAGGAATCCTTTTATAGGGAACTCTCCATGGATTGGTTACCAACTCAGTGATGGGAATCAATTGGGGTATCTGTCAATAGATAYTATGATGAAGTCAACAGGGAACCAGTAGACATAGTAGTGGTTTCAGTATGGGCAGCTAATCTGTATTTATTAGATAATAGTGATGAGGTTAATGATAGTGATGGGAGCTAGTGTCAGATCAGCAGACATGGGAGAGCAGGGGGCTTGGAGCCACCCTACTTAGGCCTGTAACCTCACCTCACCATTTCTGGCAGCGTGTGGGCTGTGGAGACTGTACAGCCTGTCGGGTAACTGAAGACTGTGGGGCCTGCTCCACCTGCCTCCTGCAGCTACCCCATGATGTGGCCTCAGGGCTGTTCTGCAAGTGTGAGAGGAGACGCTGCCTCCGGATTGTGCAGAGGGTGAGTTGGGCAGGTGGGGTGGGCCCAAGGCTCACCCCAGCCCCTGGCCCTCATAGCCCTGACCCCATGCATCACACCTCCGGCCCCCCCCCCACAGAGCCGAGGGTGTGGAGTGTGCCGGGGCTGTCAGACCCAAGAGGACTGTGGCCATTGCCGAGTCTGCCTTCGCCCTCCCCGCCCTGGTCTCAGGCGCCAGTGGAGGTGTGTGCAGCGGCGCTGCCTTCGGGTGAGTCAGGCTGGAGGGACCAGCACTGGCCTGGCCGGGCCAGAGCTCGTTCTGTTATTAAAAGTTGCCACTGCTGCTGCTGCTTCCTCCCAACCTGGCCTTGCCTAACTCATATCTTTCTTTTCCCTCCCACCCCACATTCACCTCCCTGACCTCACCTACCTGTCTTTATATGCCAGCACCTTGCTCACTGCCACCTTCGCCATCATTGGCGACGTCAGTAACACCCCCCCTAGCGGTGACTCCCCATGCTGTGAGTGCCCCACAGCACACACTTTCTACCTGTCCCATGCATGCTTTCTGCAATTTAAGGGTTCTGTGTTCGCCTGGTGCCATGAAACCCTAATCAACTCTTTTGGCTGTCTCCCAGGGTAAACGTAGATGCCACAGGGGAGGCCGTGACTCCAAGATGGCTGCCCGACGACACTCTMGAGCTCAGCCAGTGCCTATTCTTCCCACACTGCAGCCTCCAGAACCCCCAGAGCCCATGGAGCTGGTAAGATTTCAGTGGGCAGAGGAAAGCACAACCTTCACCTTTTCCCAGTACCTCTCCTGACCTCGCCCCATTTGCCTCTGCAGCACAACAACTCCCCGGTGCCCTCATCTCCTGCTGAGTTCATCTATTACTGTGTAGACGAGGACGAGCTAGTGAGTGGCCCTACCCTACCTGGATAAGCCTAGACTCTCAAGATGCTTGGTTAACCCAAGGAAGGAGATGGGTACCAGGATGGGATGAGCAATAATGGAGGGGAGGAATGACATGGGGTCAGCAGATGCAGTGAGAGTGCCTAATGTCAGATGAACCAACACTTGGTGGTTAATGCAGGACCAGGACACCCATGATAGGGCTGATAGAGGAGCAGGTAGCATAGTGACTGGAGTTCATGTAGGATGAGCAGACATAGCTGACATGGTGATTGAAGCCAGTGGGGTCAGCAGAATCCTGCTGGAAGTGAGGAATCAAAGACAGCGTTGCTAGCTGCACTGTGATGGAGCATCCATAGTTCTAATGTTATCAGACTTGCAGACACTGATTTATGGCAAATGGGAAGTCAGCAGGTTGAGATTAGTATGCAGCTGGTTCCCTTGATAGAGCTAAAAGAACACCAGAAATAGTAGTGGAATGGGTGTTGAGGATGGCCTCTCCTAGTCCTAGTGACAGCACCACCATTCCCCCCCACCAGCAGCCCTACACGAACCGCCGGCAGAACCGCAAGTGCGGGGCCTGTGCAGCCTGCCTACGGCGGATGGACTGTGGCCGCTGCGACTTCTGCTGCGACAAGCCCAAATTCGGGGGCAGCAACCAGAAGCGCCAGAAGTGTCGTTGGCGCCAATGCCTGCAGTTTGCCATGGTGGGTGGGGCAGAGGAAGGGTTAGGTGGAGGGGATAGGTTGGGCCAGGCACCCCAGTGTCTGAGAGTGGTGGGCAGGCCTGGTAGGTGGTTGGGTGGTACAGTGGCTCTGGCAAAGAATTAGCAGACCTTGTGCTGGGGTAGGAGTCTAGGTGGCACTGACATTGCTAATGGAAACTGGTAGGCTCAGTGATAAGGGCTCATGTAAGTAGATTTCTGTGCTGGGACTAATGGGAGGTTAGTATACACATTGAACAGTGCAGGGTGGGTGGGGCCAGTCAAGGCAGCAGGTGGCCATAGTACTCCCATCTTTCCTTACAGAAGCGGCTGCTGCCCAGTATTGGGTCAGAGTCCGAGGAGGGGGCAGGATCACCTCTACTTCACCCTCGTCGAAAGAGACCAGGTTCTGTTCAACGGCCCCACCTGGCCCCCACCCTGAAGCCCCCTTTGGCTACTCGCACAGCCCGACCAGGCCGTGCTCAGCCTCCAATGAAACAGGAAGCAGGTGCTAGCTTTGTACTACCCCCTCCTGGCACTGACCTTGTGTTTTTACGGGAGGGTGCCAGCAGTCCTGTGCAGGTGCCTGGCCCTGCTACAGCTTCCACAGAAGCCCCATTGCAGGTGAGAGTCCCATCTTATCCTCCCTTTACTATCCCACTCAGCCTGATATCAGGGTGCTAAGACCAAGTCTGCCATCATCCTCCCTCATGCAGGAAGCCCAGTGCTCTGGCCTGAGTTGGGTTGTGGCCTTACCTCAGGTAAAGCAAGAGAAAGCAGATACCCAGGAAGAGTGGACATCGGATATAGCTGTCCTGACTTCTCCCACATTGCAACCTGGCTGCCCTAGCAAGGTGGGAACAGTGATGGGTGTTCTTTTGGTGCCATAGTGGGATGGTCTATAAGCAGAGTAGTGGTGAGCCATGATGGTGGCACTGTGAGCAGGGTAGGTGCAACTAGATACCCACTTTCAGTTCAATTAACAGGAAAATGAAAGCTAGTGAAGAATGGGAAAGATTTGTAGGCAGAAAGGTGGCATTTCTGTGCTGAACTATGATGGAAGTGGGATCTGTCAACAAGTGACCATTTGGCTGACAGACTTTCCTTAGGCCAACCCTATCCTTCTAACCACTGCCCTTCCCCTGCTTCTCTCAGGCAATAGACCTGTGCCTGCCACCTGTGAAGCAAGAGCCACCTGACCCTGAGGAGGGAAAGGAGGAGAACAAGGATGGCTGTGTCTCCGAATCGGCCCCAGAGGAGGAGGTGGCAGGAGGGCCYGGCACGCCCGTGGTCAGTGCTGGGGGATGCCCTATCTTGCCCTGACCTTGTCTTAGCCCCTCCAGCCATGTTGACCCATGATGTTAATTCTTCCCTAGATCACGGAGATTTTCAGCCTGGGTGGAACCCGCTTCCGGGACACAGCAGTCTGGTTGCCAAGGTGTGCCCCACACAGTGAGGGGTGGGGATGGGGAGGGTGCCTGCCAGATGTGGACCCTGAGTTTTGAAAGTACAGCCAGCAATTTGGGTACAGAAGGAGATGAAGACCCACACTCACTAAACTGTTCACTACTGGTCAGGTGACAGGGTTTGAGCAATACCCTAGAACTTTTTCCAGAGTCTCAGCCCAGTAGTGTTCCAAGTCAGGGTCTACTTTGGTGGGAGGGGGAGAAGACCTGATGCCATGTGATGAGATTGAAAGAAAAAGAATGATTAGGAGAGTCTGGTGCCTACCTCTTTAAGAAAATTCTGTAGGGGTCAGACTTGATATATAAACTCTTATTCAGAAAAACAGCCTTTGGAATCTCCCAGAGACCCCTTGGTAGGCTGTCTCCTAAAGATGAGAAGAGCATATATCACAGAAATGACATTGGGCTAGCCTGGGCAGTGAGGTTGGTAGAGGCTCTGGGTCCTGATCTGGGTCTGTGAGCTGGGTTCACACTCACTTGTGTGACCTCTGGCTTGTCTTGTGCCTCCTGGAGTAGCCTCTATAGAAGGGCTCAGGCTACCTCCCTTGAGCCTTTCTTGTTGAGATTACTGTTTCAGCTGCTGAACAAAATTCCCTTTAGACCTGGCAATAGGATGAAGGGTAGGTTCCTATAAGAACTGGGGTGGCTGAAGGAGGACCATGGCATGCTGCCTCCTACAGAAGGTTGACAGGCCCTGCACAGAACCCCCAGACACAAGCAACAGAATCCAGTTCAAGCACTGGATTCCCCTGTTCCTATAAACCAGATCCATCTGTACCTGGGAGAGAGGTACTAACTGAGCCCCTGCTGGGTGTATAGTAGTGTAGAGGTCCTACTCTAATTACACTGAGCCCTGTAAGGCTTGCCCTTCAGAAGAGACAGGATCCCTACCTGCAGTGAGCTTATCATTCCCTGTGCATGATGAAATCATTACATGCTACAGGGTAGGTGTTGGGCTGTCAGTAYTGGTGGTTTTTAGAAGAAAGAAAGAGGTATAGGATGATTAAGGGTATGTGGGTGGAGGACGCAGAATGGTAGGAAATGGTTTTGTGATGCTCCATTTTGCACATAGAAAACCTCATTCAACATACAGAACTGCTCCCTCTTCTCTAGGTCCAAGGACCTTAAAAAACCTGGAGCTAGAAAGCAGTAGACTGGAGGCTTCTGCAGACTGTAGGACTCAAGGTGATACATGCAGACCGGCTTTGTGAGAGACAACCCTGATCTACCAGGGGCTGGAAGGGGCTAGACTGGTTGCAGGGCTTGTATGTGAATCAACTGTAGGAGGAAAACCTACCAGCAAACCCAAGGAGCAGGCCTACTTCCTACTTGGAGCTTAGAGGAAACAAGCCCAAAAGGAGGAGAAAGTCAGGGGAGAAAGTTGGTGCATCTGCTCCCGGGTCTGAGGGTGATGAGAAGTTGGGTGTTAGGGGTGGGGGAGCTGGGGTGAGGAAGGGAATGTAATTAAAGCCACCACAAAGAACCTAAACAAGTCATCTTCATAAACAATTTTAAGTGGCTTCTGGATGAGACATAGCAGTGTCTCTAAACATGTTCTCAGGGAGACAGCAATTGAAAATGCAATGTGAATAAATGAAAAAAGGAAAGGAACCGCTGTTTGGTGAACTCCTCCTATGGACCCATTTATTTAATCCTCAAAACAGTCTAAGAAGACATCGATTTTGTGCACTTCTGCCAATGAGAAAATTGAGATTCAAAAGATATGAACTTACCCATTGTCAAAATCTAGTGTTGCTAGAACCTAGAATTATACCCAGGCTGTAAAACTTTGTTCTTCAAGCCACTAAACTGTTAACTGCAATCCTTTGTGCAATAATGTGTAATACTGCAGTAATAGTTTCCAGTGACAATGAAGATATAGTGGATTGCTATTAATACTATAATAAATCCTTTACACTCCTGCCTTTAGCATGGTTTAGGGAGTTCTAAGGCTCTATTATGTGGACAGGGTGACCTTTTCAGAGCACCTGTTCATCCAGAATCTGGGTTATACATAGGCCCTGGATGCTGCATAGGATTCTTCAAACCCTAAAGGGTGTCCCTTCCCATTGGCTACTGTCTATTTAGTTATTACCCTAACTGCCCCTCCTCAGTCAGAGCATTCTTTGGAACTAAAGCTGCCAGCCTGGCTCATCTTTCCTGACAGTGTACATCTGCCCTCTGATKACCTTTGTGCTTGGTTCCTGTCCTTGTCCCAAATGTCTTCCAGGAGGCTGAATTCCTGCTTTGAATTCTGCCCAAGGGTCAGCCTGGCTCAGCCTTACCTCAATCTAATGCTTCATTCATGAAATGCCAAAAAGATTTGATATATAATTTGTTACTTAGTTTTACATGGCCAGGACTCAGGGAGTGCCTCCCTTGCCTACTCTAGTTCTAGCCCTGCAACTTTAGGTAATTCTGGTTTAGATTGGTCATTTCCCATTTCGAATTCACAAGATTCAACTCTCTTAACACTCTCCTATTCTTTGCCCTGCTCTACCTAGTTCAGCTATAGCCAAGAATAGATAATCTAATACTGCTTTGTTCCCACTAGGGAACCCTAGTAAGTCTATAATTCTGACAAGTGATGTTCTAAGGGAAATTTATTTAATTGGCATTCTGACTCATAAGTGAAGAGTGTGATTACCATGACCACCAAGAAATAGATGATGTATAATGTATATTTTAAGGGATTTATTAGAGGGATTGGACTTCACATAATTGTGGGAGCTGGTTAAGCAGTCTCTGTAAGGCTGTTTTCTTTGCATCTAATGCTGGAGCTTAAAGTCTGCAGGGCAGGCAGTCGGGAAGGGAAGATGGATGTAAAGTGTGGGAGACGGAGGACACATTGGAGCCTATGAGCACAAGCTGGGACCCACACGGATTGCCTGGAACCTATGTCAGTCTCTCATCACCTCCTGCTTCAGTGATGTGGGTGTCCTGCAGAAGAAGTTGGTGCCCTTCCTCACAGAGTTAAATGTGCACCTGGCTCAGGATTAGAGAAGCTGAAGGAAGATCTCAGGGAAGGTGTAGCAGCTGCAGACCTGGCTGCAAGCCTCAGGGCTGCCCCACACCAAGGAGGTGAGCCTGCAGATAATTGACAGCATGTGTGAACAGCAACAGCACTTTGGTGCCCCTACACCAGCCTTCCAGCTGTAAACTATGTTACTGCTTCACTTCTGCCCTCCAGTTATCAGCCAGAATGCCTCATGTGGCCATCCTAACCAGAAGCGTATGGGGAAGGGAGTTCTGGGAAGCAGCCAAGATGATGCGTTGCAAAGCTAACCTGCTGTGAATCAGCTCCCAAGGGTCTCACTACTCAACTGAGGATAACTTGATAAAACTACATTGCTGAAAACACAAAACTCAAGACAAATTCTATCAAGCCAGAACAAACTTGCTGGTCTTCAGCTATTTTTGTCATTCATTCAGGTATTAAGAACCTGGCCCAAAGTAGGCACTGTATTTAATACTGGGATACAGAAATGAGAAAAGATATGGTCCATGCAGTTTTATTAAATGCATCAATATATATTGCAAGTGGTGAATGGATTTCCAAATTTATCATGGAATTTAATGCTGAAAATGTAAAATTTAAGAAACTAAGGGGAGGCCAACCTTTGGGTGAAGATTGTTGGGCACCGTAGAAATTGGAAACAATTAAGTAACTGTTCTCTAACTGTTCTATTTTTGAATTATTTTTAAGGAGATTTTTATTGTCCTCCTTATAGATTTATATGCTTAGTGTTTCTTTGGGGAGTGACTTGATGGTGATAGCAGTGATTGCCTCAAAGAAACTGGGATAGTGGATGGCAGGATCAAAGTCAGTTCTATCCAAGGACCCCCAAGATGCATCATTTTCTAGGCCTCACAGGGTGGTTGGTGGCTAAAGGCTGAGGCGCTTTTGCTGCTGATACTCACATGGGCCCAGCCCTCCAATCTCCTCAGGGCGAGGGAGCCTGCCAGCAGTCAGTCCCGCCTTAGGGTGAGACTTACCACAAATGCCTCCCCCTGGACAGGGCCTGGAGGGAAGCAACTACCCCTTTCRAAGAGGTAAAGGACTAAAATCGAACTGGAGTTAAATAACCAGGCTCATCAGGGTGAGGGTGCTGCACGATCAACTCAGGAACCAGCGCTGAGACATCTGAGGGCAGCCGCCTGTCAGCATCAATTGGCTTCCCTGTCTGTCGCCTCCAAGAACTCATCGGGMCCCTCTGGGCTGCACAACCTCGAGGGCACCCAACTGGCAGCCCAATCTCAGTGGCCTTTCCCAAACCCCGAGAGGATGGAGGGCACAGCATTTTCATTGCCTCACTTCTCTGAGGGTATATGGGCTGGGGAGGTTCCCCTCAGACCCACCCCTAYAGGCCAGTCAGTGCCTGGGAGACTTAAAGATCAAGGATCCGCCCCCCAGGACGTCTTCCAGTGAATCCAGTAGACTTCCTAATTTCTTTCTTTTTTGTTTGTTTCAGGCTACGTAAACTCTTAGCAGTAAATGAAAATGAGTATTTTACGGAACTGCAATTGAAAGAAGAAGCATTATAGGAGAAAAATGAATTATTAAAAGATTATTAAAAGAGAAGAAAGACATTATTTTGTGGCTGAAAAGCTGAACCAGCAATTCAGGATATGGAATCCAAATCTAGAAATGTACCACATAGAAAACCGAAGTGGGTGAACTACAAATGATTAAGGAATGCTAATTTACAGTATACTGCGGCCTTAAGAAGGTATACACAGTTTGTACTTTGGTTACTGGTATACCTTCATAACTGGCGTAGTTACTGGTTTTTCCCTACTTGCTCTGGTGTTCTATGCTCAACCTCACATTAGAATGGGAATGCCAAAGAGTCATTCTTAATTGGCTTTTATGTATTAACTACCTTCATGCTCTTGAGGGGAAATACAAATGTGGCTTCTACCTGTGCTGAGGTCTCTGCCAGATCCAGTTCCCTGATCTGTGTTGCAGTTCTGCCAGGGATCCTGATTCTCAGGAAATGATCACCTGGACTTCTGAATTTGCATCCTGACCCAGGTCCACTGTGATTCCTTGATTCAGACTCTTTTTGGTCTTTATTTTGCCCAGCCAGGTAATGCCACTGCCCCACCAGCTCATTTGATCTGCCCCCCTTCCTAAGAAAATCCTAAGTCTAAACCCTGGTTTCTGCCCAGTGCAGTAGGAAAATTTTATTAACAGATTATTATTACTGATTGGGTAGTTTGATAAAGCACTTTGGCTCCCTGAGCCTTAATCCACTACGCTCTAAATGAGGATAATATCTGCTGTTCTGTCAACTCTGTAAGATATTTGTCAAGCTCCAAGGTTGTATCTGTAAAAATACCTTGCAAATTGTAAAAAAAACAAAAAACTACACAAATATAAGATGGTCCTGTGATGATTAATATCGCCATTACCAAAAATAACCTGTAGACGATTCAAAATTTAACCTTCCCATAGAATGTCCACTAACCTTTCCCATCCTTTTMGGCCTGTTAGTCTACGAACAGCAACTGGAATTGTAATTAGACCTTCGACTTCCCTTGAGTTAGAGAGCTATCCCCACCCCCTGCCATTTCCGCTGAGCCTAGACGTGGGAAAGAGCCTGTTGGGAGGTCTGGCCTGGGCGGGATGACGACTTGCTGACTGGGATCCTGGGCTGTTAGAGGAAGTCCTGTGTGCCAGCGTCTGTGGCCCCCATGGCTACCAGACTGACTTCCGCGGATCCTGGGCTGTTAGAGGAAGTCCTGTGTGTCAGCGTCTGTGGCCCCCATGGCTACCAAACTGACTTCCGCCGGATCCACCCCGCACCCCTCGAGGTGCACCATAGCAACCAGATCTCTGCGTTGCGGAAGCCGGTCTGGAAGGTTACGGTGGTTGCCCACCGCCTACCAACGGAGGGGAAAATGTACAGCCAGCAGTTCGGCAGCCTCCCGCGGGAAATTAAGGGCCCAACCCCTAAAGTGTTGATGGTGGTAAGTGCAGGAACTGTGGTGAGACCCTGCAGGTTTCTCCATCTCCCGGCACTCCTGGCCTAGTCAAACCTAACCTGCCCCCTGCAGGGACTTTTCTTTAGTGGCGTGAATATCTGATGTGGCAGCTTGAATTTTGAAAGCAGGATAGTCACTATCTATTTCTGCCCTCACCCACTTATCCTCCACTATCCTCTTTACCTCCTGACTTATAGTTAAAATAATTCGATCTGTATTTGGAGAATAACCACTTGGGATCTTGTTTTTTTTTGTTTTTTTTCTTCTAGACACCCGAAGGAGGTCTGTCCCCTTGCAATGAGTAATGTGTATCATGGAAAAAAGGGAAACAGGGTGGGAAGCAGATCTGGGATTTGTACTGGCTGTGATTCAGCAGTATGATTATGGGTGATCCTTCATGTACCCCTAGGAAAATTGTCTATGGAAGAGGAATTGGATTGTGTGGGATTGTGTGTGGCTATAGAACCTTACCTGTGCCAACTCAAGCAGTAACCAGAAATGGACTAAAATATCTCTGCAGACCTGGAAATACGCCAGGTGGTTGCCTCCAAGGCTGGGAGTATGCCAGAGGAAGACATTGCAGAATTTGATGAGTCTTGCTGAGAAGCCCAGACACTAATGGTTCAGGCACCTGTATTCATTTGTTCCTACCAACTAGTTTATATAGATCAGAAAGYACCACCATGTGTCATTAGGCAATTATGATTTTTGCCTGAGCCCCTCCTGTAACATCTCCAGCACAGCACTGTAGAAGATATAGTGACTTTGGGAGGAGGTTTAATCTTCATTAGAAGCCTGATCCGTGCATTCAAGAAGCTTATAATCTAGTTGCAGAAACAACTTGCTCATACATATAAACCACTAAATGTTAACACAGTGGATAATAATATACATTCTCTGTATTAGCAATTTGTGAAAGAAATATCAGTGATAATCAAGGACAATTGTATTTTGCTCCACAGAAAATTTCAGTCAACCTATGGACCTGCTCCCTTTTCTTTAGGTCCAAGGACTATAGAATCTGGAGGTGAAAAGCAGTAAACTGGAAGGTTCTATGGAGTAGGGCTCAATGATAATCCTAGTCAGATTTCTTGAGGGACAGCATCTAATCTATTTTGAGTCAGCACTCAGGGCCTGGGCCATCTGTAATCTGGTGCTATTACAATTTATATTGAAAACTAATAAGGAACAGGAAAAGAATATACCACTACTGGGTTTCTATTCTCGCGACTAAAAGGCTCAGGGGTCACTCCAGTTAAACTGGGCTAACTGGGCTGCACGAAATAACTACACAAGAGACACAATACCTTTTTCTTTGGGGTCGCTGTGACGGCTCCTCTGACCTTAAGGGTCTGCAGGAAGACACAGCTAGAGCACGAGCTGACCCCTTTTATTGAGGAGAAGTTATTTAAATGAGGCAAGGGGTCAGGTTTCAGGGGGCTGAGTCTATCTTCATGATGTYCACTGTCAGCAGGTTGACTGACACCTGGGTAGGCCACACCCAAGAGCACAGTAAGAGAAGGGGACACACACAAGGCACTTCCATGGAAGATTCTATCCTAAACAGGGCAAGGGGTTATATTACAAAGGAATAGATGAGCAAAGCTTCACCCATGGGGCTGTAACAAGACACACCCATGCAGGAGACACCGACCCTCAGAACCGAGAAGGGTGGGGAAAGCTCTGCCACATTTCTGTGACTGAGCGCCTCAGCACCCAGCCGGGGAGTGTGACTCAGTCACGAGTAAGGTTGGTCTCCCACGTACCACCAAATCAAAGAAGCAGGTCTACTGAATACTTTGTGCTTACAGAAGAATTTGGAGGAAAAAAGAGATCAGAGTGGTTGCATCTACTCTTTCTCAGGCCTGTGAGTGTGCTAAGAAATGACAGAGTTGTATTAAGGAAATAATTAAAGTCATCAAGAGATGAGACCTGAACACTAGACAATTCCCCATAAGAAAGCAATAAAAAAATAGAATGTGGTTATCTACTGGAAGGGCATTTATTTTGCTCTTCTGACTGATTAGAAAAGTAAGACTCAAAGAGATTAAGCAATTTGCTTAACACAATTAATGGGTAGAGGCCAGAACTAAACCTAGGATGAAGGCATTGTTCTTTAAGGTAGTAAACTGTAAACTGTATTCCTCAAAATTATAACTGGAGATGTTACAGTAACAAGCCCTCAGTAACTTTGAAAATACAAGCCCATTAGTAGATCTTGTTATCTTGCCTTTAGTGTGGTCCAATGCTTTGGTGTATGATATGATAGCCACAAGCCACCTATGGCTTTAGACCACTTGAAATGTAGAGTCACATGCTGARATAATATTTGGATATATTGGTCTAATAAAATAATTATCAAAATTAACTTCCCCTGCTTCTTTTTACTTTTAAAAATAAAGCTACTACAAAGGTTTCATATTTGGTTTGCATTATATTTCTATTGAACAATATGGATTTTGAGCAATGCCAAAGACTGCCTAGATTGGCATCACCTTGGTAGAGAACTATAGGTTTTACTTTGTTTATCCAGGGAGTGGGTTCTTTCAAGACTGGAGTCCTGCACAGGATACCCTGAGCCTTATAAGGCTTCCTGGCCCCGAAGCTGCTAATCATGTTGTTTCTTACCACCCCTCACCCTCATTCCTCTCTTTAGACAAAATGTACCCCTCAGGCTTGTTCCTGTCCTGGCCATTGAAGATAATTGTTTCTAGATAATAATGCATGGTTCCTGTTCTCATCCTTTGTGTCTACCAGGAGCCCAAGTTCCTGCTGTGTATTTTGCCCAAGGTGCCATGGCCCTGCTCCTGCTCAGCTTTATTGTCACAGAATCTGCATTGTGAAATACCAAAATATTAGAGAATAATACTTTCTCTATAGTTGGATGTAAGGCTCCAAGTAACTCTGATATGGATTACTAGTTACTTTTCATGATCTAACCCTCAATGACATCTGCTTCCTCCTCACCTCAGTCCTACTTTATCTTGTTTAGTTACATCTAAGTGCCTATATATTTTTTCAAGCCCTGAATCTCTATTTTTATTTTTTTCAATGTTCATTTTTTAGTTTTAGTGGGCACAGTATTTTATTTTTATGTGGTGCTGAGGATCAAACCCAGTGCCTCATGCCTGCTAGGTGAGCACTCTTCCACTGAGCCACAACCCCAACCCCCAAAGCCCTGAATCTTTTTCATCAAACTATCTTCATATGTTGGTATTCTTTTTTTTTTAAGAGAGAGAGAGAGAGAGAGAGAGAATTTTTTAATATTTATTTTTTAGTTTTTGGTGGACACAACATCTTTATTTTTTTATGTGGTGCTGAGGATCGAACCCAGCACCCCGCACATGCCAGGTGAGCGCGCTACCGCTTGAGCCACATCCCCAGCCCTGTTGGTATTCTTTCCCCTGGAAATATTCTTAGAAAACACCAAGTATTCTGGTAACCCTTCCACTGATGTCCTAAATATAATTTATCAAAT